ATGATCCAAGGCTCAGAGGTCCTGATGAAAGAAAAAAGGGAATGCTAGTTCTTTGTCCTTGTAGGAGCAGACTAGGCAAGGTCCAGTCTGAGGTCTGGGCCTCGAAATAGTTAAGGTTTTGGTTCCTGTGAACCCAGTATTCCCCTCTGTAGGGCTGTGGTTATCAGTCCTAAGGCAGCTGTGTCCGAGACAGCCCGTGTTCTCTTGCCCACATTGTCTGATTGAGCTTTCAACTGACCTTGGTCATTCTCCCTCGGCAAATTGGATATATAAGATGCTTTACTTCTTAATAAGCTTGCTTGGCATATGACATATCTTGTTCAAGGCCTCTCAACCCCAGCTTTCCTACCTTCTCATCTGGCCTTCCCACTTAGAATATTGTCACTGAAGAACAACTTGCTGGTCCAGGTCACTAAACCTCTCCATTAGCCACTAGAAAGTAAAAGAAATAAAACCTACAATGTATCAATGAGAATAAATAAACAAAACCAACTCTGAGATTTTTGCTTCACCACTGATTAACATTTCCACTTCCTGCTACCAACTTGCTCTGTCCTGAAAAAAAATAATTATCTCAGAAATGGAGTACGGAAAAGACATTATGGATTGGTGAGGGAGGGGACTCAACTAGAGGCTGCAGAGTACAGACAACCAAATTACCCTTAATACAGTTTTCAAGTGAGAACAGAACGGCTTCTTGGTGCTGTGCTGTCCAGCTCTTTGTCCTTGGCAATATGGTTCTCTTAGGTGAGAGATGGAAGGTGCTTTTCTTTTCCTTTATTACTTGGATTGGCTGTGGTCAAAATCTGCCCCAAAACACAAGGTCTTGTCCCTTTTGGCCTAAAGTGTACTCTTTCCACAGTTTCTAGAAAACCAAGACTGATTATTTGATTTGGATGAAAACAATCCAGGGACAGACTTGAAGACCTGGGTGCAGGCACACTGTTGGCTCTGGTCCTGAGAAAACTTGCCTTGTTTTACTCTTCTACAAAATGCACAAGGTCTCTGAGCTGGCTAGATCTGTGTGAATGTTCCAACATGGATCACCAAGGGCCACTGTTACAAGTTTTGCTAAATACATGCTTTGCCTGTATTGTTAATTACACAAAATATCTTCATTTCAGTTACAGAAATCTGGAAGGAAACATTTTATCAGATCCAAAACAGGAAATCAGTTTTATTTGCTGCAAATAGAAAGCAGCCACAGAGATAAGCTAATAAAAATTAAGTCAAACTATTAAATTCTAACCAGATGTTAATGTTCAGAGCGTGCCCTGCCTCTGCACATCCAGGGAGACAAACATGTGTCAGTAGAGTTTCCCTACCTCCTTTCTGGGAGTTGGAAGTATTGAAAGAATTTCGAGAATGGATTCCAAACTCTAGGAATTCATTGATTTAACACAAGTTACATTCCATGTTTTTGGAAACAAAGATAGAAGGGGAACAAACTGTTTAATATTTTTATTAGGATTATACTTACTCCAGACTGTGTCTGCTTCTCTGCCTTTTACTTTAGCTCCTTCTGAACTTAATGAATAGTAGTAGCAGAGCAACAAGAGAAGCTAATTAACAAACTCCTCTCTACTGGACATTTGGTGAAGTACTTCCCATGGATTTCTCATAAAAGCCTTTACTACAAGTACCAAAATCAATCCCACCAAAAATGAGCAAACCTCGGCATCATCATCTGGCAACTGACCTGCCAAATATGGATGTGGAATGTAGGCTCAGGCCTCTTGATTCTAAAGCCCACCATCTTAAACACTCCCAATGGCCTTCAATGGTAGGATGCACTTACTTTATGTTGAAGTATTTGGCTGTGCCAGCAGAGAGCAGGGGACAAGCTCTTGGTTCACATGTTCTATGTACTTTCCCTCCCCTATCACCTTGGGATCCAGAGCTGTGCCTGTTCTGCTCTGAGATCTGCCATTCACTTGCTCTATTGTTTTCTCTTCTGGGTGTTGTTTCCATAATTAAATGATGGGGATATTCTGGTCCTTGGATGAGCAGCAAGAAGGCTCTCTAGTACTGGGAGCCAGACTGAGAGGCAAATAGATCAACCCTAAAGATTGCAAACCATCATCAAGGTGCCCCACAGGCTATCTGAATTCTCCATACTTCTTGGTTGAATTTAATCTATTTGGATGCAAGCCCGATTTTCCTAGTGAGTATATATTCACCACTATAGGCACTTTACAATTTATCTGCCTTTTCACAAGGCCTCAGAACCCATCAGCTTGTGATAAGAGATTACTGGTTCAATTTTATAGACAAGATTTTGTCACGAAAGTGACTTGCCCAAGGATGTGTGGCAGAAGCTGGATGGAAAACACATTAGGTTCTCCTATCCTGGAACAATGATTTTTTTTTCCCTACTACATAAATTATGGTTTATATACATGATGCATTTATGTAATCTATTCCTACTATAAAAGTTCCCATAAACAGATAAAGTAAATACTCTTGACCCCAGCTCTGCTCCAGTCCATTCCCAAAGCAAGGGAGGGTGGTTACCACTTGGCATATGTAATTCAGTAATTTGTGGTTTTGTTTGTTGTTATTTATGACTTAAGGTGATGCTGTATGTTATCCACTACTAGCCTTTCAATAGTCAACCCCACACATAATTTCACATCAATACATGTGTTTCATGCTGCCAGCCTTGCAGAGTAGGTGATTCAATAGCTGACTCAACATAATGTCTTCCTCATGGTCAGCTGGACTGGTTTCAGAATGAAGTGGCAGCTCAGACATAGCAGTTGTTCTGTCGGCCAGAGCCAGCGGCACAATGGGTCTCACCTGACTTTCTTTCCCCTTTGAGGCATAAAACTCGGGTTTCACCAAGTTATCTAAACAGCTAACCTGGATGTGAACAAGCTTAGGAGGCATGATAACCAACCTCAAAATGCTAGTGTCAAGTGTGACCTTCTCTCCAAGGCCTGACTAGTTCTCAAAGATCACTCTTATATGGTCTAAGGGATAGCGTGGAAATACTAAAGAAAAAAAACTATGAACATAAACTGACAACCCCCCCCCCTCACACACACACATACACAAACACACGCAGAGAGAGAGAACCAAACAAACCTATAACAAACCTGGGATTATGGTGGATGCTCCCATTGGTCCCTCACACTGCCTCATGGTGTGGGTAACTATTACCACTTTACAAATGAGGAAAGTGAGGCTCCAGCATTGGCTCTCCACCACAGACCACTGTCTCCTGGTCAGAGCTATTGTCTGAAGTAGTCAGAATCTGAACCCAGGACTTCTGAGTCACTTCAAGAATCATAGTGTCAGCCACTGTTTAAAGTATTAGACCCATACACCTGGCAGCCTGAGATACATGACTCTTTGTGATACCAACACTCAGTCAGAGGTCATCTGTGAACTTTCTAAGGCCTTTTAAAAACAGGCCATTGTACCACAAAGCTGGTGTCATAACTGAATGACGGAAAATTCAGTTCTCCATCAGGTGTTGGCAAATTGGCCAAGATGTGGTCTGCAAGCCTTCAGAATGGTTTTAACTTTTTAAAATGTCTGGGTTGAAATCCAAGAGTTAATATTTTGTGATGTGACTACGTGGAATTCAAATTTCTGTCTATAAATAAAGTTTTGTCGTAATATGGCCATCTTTGTGTGTTCATGGCTTTCACACATCAGAGAATGTCTACAGCCTATTGAGCATAAAATATTTACTATCTAGCCCTTGAAGGTTGCTGGCCTTGATGCAAGGCAATCGCTACTAGCTATTTGTTCATATATATTTCTAAGTGTCTATGAGAGTGGGTGGCTTCCATTCTTGTGTTTTCGGCTGTCTACCTTCAGCATCTTTACACATGATCTTAGAGCCCCTGATGTATTTAATGAGTCTGTGATAAGACTGGTGAACTGAGTTAAGCTAAAGAGCAGTGGCCTCTTGTGGCCACTAAAAGCATTACTTATATGAAGTACTTTCTAGAATTATAGGGGAAAACTACAGACAGGTTGATTCTTGCTGTGGAGTGTAGGTTATTATCTGCATTTGTTGTCTGCCTCTTACTAAGCAGTTATAAGCTCAACAGTGAAACAATGAGTTAAAAAACAATGCAACAGTGAACTGTTGATGGAGTGTAGCAAGTTTTTTCTACAAGGTAGTTTTCTAGAAAGACCTGTATAAACTGTAAGTGAATGCACTTATCAGCAAGGACATGAAGGGAATGTCATGGCATGTGTACATTATTTCTGTGGAAAAGGAAAAAACCCAGGAGTGATATGTCTTATCATTTGTGTATTCCCTCACTGCACTTGTATTTGCTTAAGTTACCTGTAAAAGTTAACTCATGGTTTGCTTGCTTTAAGAATAAAAATGGGAAGTGCTTTGTTCAAAAAAAAAATGCAACAAAAAGATGAACTATCTAATTATATTTAAGATTTAAAAAAATAATCTATGTCAAGAATTTTAAAAGCTTTGAAGACTTTAGACACAGGCACCTATTGTCCAAGAGTCGAGTGTCAGGGAATCTCACTGGCACTCTTGCCTGTCTGTCTTTAGTGAGCCAATACAGTTGGGATCAGAAACACAATTTCATGTCCTACCCAGCAAACACCAAGTCCTGACCACGGAGGACTGATTTTTCTGTCCTCATTAATCCCCAGAAAAAGGAAGAGGCTGTACAAATCCTGAAAAACCTGACACTTTCTACAGACCTTTTCTTTTGTCTTTAGCCTTTGGCTTCTGAAGTCTGTTAAGGTCACTTATTTACCAAACGGCAAAGCCATCTGGGTGATGCCGAGAGTGAACAGCACCATCACTGCCAAATGGGGCAGCTTCCGTCCAAGAGAAAAAGGCAGCTCCTCTGTAACAGCCCATGACTCATTTTCCCAGCATTCTCCTGCTTCTCTGCATGTGTTGTACATCTCATGGCCCCATTTTCAAAAAGGATCAGAAAGTGGACACAACGATACACCGCTTTTCTGTGTGGTATGTGCTACTGTAAAATATGGTTTCAAGTCCATGGCAAGGTTTTACTAAGGTTTATTTTTATGTCCAAGATAAAGCAAATACACAATTGAATGTGGAAATAAATAACTAGAATGCTCTGAAAACCTTCTATTTGCCCTTCAAATTCATGTTTTTTACATTTCTGAATGTTTCATGTAAAGAAATATGCCAAATATAAACACTAGGGAAAAAAGAAGCCCACTTAGTACAGAAGCAGTCTTCTCTGACCGAGGGTTAGTTGGCATTATAGTAACACACACACACACAAGACACAGCACTCATTAGCACTGACTCAGACAGCTCTGCTGGAGAAGAAAAAGGCACAGACTGAAGGGACAATGGTAAGAAGCAGAGTACATGGGCTCAGTCACATGACATTGAGAACGAAGTCTAGAAAAGTGAACAAAATCAATGTTCAAATTATTTGCCTTCATTCAGATGACTTCTTTAAATTAAGATGTATAAACATAGGTTATAAAGACATTACTTTTGGAAGTGTCTTTGTATATTTCTTCTATATATAAATCTTTGTATACAATTTCCATGTTCCTTATATATTTCCTATATAACAAACTGAGCCAGGGCCTCCCAATTCCAAGCCCAAAGTTTCTGTGTAGCCTCTTGGCCGCTTTGGACCAGAAGAGCCAGGGAAGGTCTCTTTAAATGTAGTCATCTTCAACTGGCTCTCCATTGACATCACAGTAGTGGATAAAAATTGCCACCACGCGCTGAAATACACCTCTCTTCATCTGGCGCATTTCTGAGATCTCCTCTCCTATTGTCTCCATACAAATATCTGCAGACAGCTGTCCCTTCCTCCGAGGGGCATAGATGGTACCTGGGAAAGGGAAACAGACAAGAAATTTCAAGAAATCAACCACTTGGTCCATTTCCTGTATCAATGCAGCTGATGCAAGGACGGCTCATGGAATTTGTCTTCCTTACTTCAGTTTTATATCAGACAAGACAGCAGACATGATCAAGATCTCCAGGTAAAAATAATGCACCAAGGACTAAATTATGCTAAAAATAAGTCATTAAAAATTACTTCTTTATAAATACTTATTTTAAAGCTTTACCTATAAGTGAATATTCAAGTATGCTAAAACTTAAAAAAAATTATTAAGAGTTTCCCCCCAAATTCCTATACTTAAATTGCAAAAAGCTGCAGTGACACAACAGTATTTCTAAGAAGCAGGCCGCTATTTAGTACAACTGAACAATTCTGAAACCATATTTGTAAATTCTTCAATAAAGATCAATGAGTTTGAACCGGGCGGTGGTGGCGAACGCCTTTAATCCCAGCACTTGGGAGTCAGAGGCAGGCAGATCTCTGTGACTTTGAGACCAGCCTGGTCTATAAGCCCTAGTTCCAGGACAGCCTCCAAAGCCATAGAGAAACCTTGTCTCGAGAAACAAAACAACAACAACAACAAAAATCAATGAATTTGTCACGCATGGTGGCACATGCCAAAGGTAATCCTAGCAACTTGGATTAGGCATTCAAGGCCAGACTCACTACACAGACAATTGAAGGCAAGCTGGAGCTGCATGAGAATCTTTCTCAAAAAGCAAAATTCTTAATGGTGTTATAACTGGCTGTCATGTTTTTCATCAGGTCCTGAGTTAAATCTCCAGCATATTCTCATATGCAGGACCAAACAAGACAATCAAACAAGTAGGAAAGCTGAAGGAATTCCCACCATGTGGACACATCAGACCCCTGTGCATCTGCTGCACCAACTAAGAGCTGGCTCCTTTTCAGAAGAGATACTAAAAATATTTAAGGAAACCAAACCACACTCTGCATTGTCACTAAATTCTAACAAAATGCTAAGATAGGAAGGCAGACTCAATCTAGAGAGTACAAGTTAAATCAGGTCATAATTACTCTCTTCGTCGTCTTCAAAATCGTATCTGGCGAAGCTGTTGGGCTCTGCTGCCCGCAGTGATCTCAGCCAAGGGAAGTCAGATATCATGGAATACGGTGCTCCATCCACAACACCTGAAATAAGCAGACAGACATGAGAGTCCTGTTGGTTATAGAAATGCTGACAGAAGCATACTATACCTAAGCAGTTACAGCTGGGCACAGAGACTGAGTCAGCTGCCTAACCACCACATTTCTTAATTTTTATCTTACCTACCTTTTGTGTGTCAACAGGCTCTGATTATTCCAAGGATGGTAGAAACACAGACAGACCAATATTTATCCAGCCTCTGCCTCTTGCAGAGACTTAAACCTCTCACTAATCTGATGAGTTCTAAGACCCTCCATGTCTCACCTAAGGTATGCCCCTCCCATCTAGTTCACAGCTTAAAATTTAGCTCCCTAATCTAGGTAAATTCTTACCCTCTAAAGTGTAGATTTCTCTCCCCCATGGGTACTTAGGGTACTTCTTTAAATCTTCTTCAGTTCGAGTGGCTTCAAGGAAGAATTCATATTTAATGAGTTCTCTAAAGGCAACAGGGGAAAAAAATATCAAGTAAATATATAAGAGAAAAAGACTGCTGGGCAGAAAGCAACTGTCTCAATATTCAAGCTTAGATTCTACCAAACCATCTCGCAGAACGACAACTCTCTGACATTGCCAGTCACTCCAACTAGAGAACAAGTCTAACCTGGTCTATGCTACATTCTTTCTTATCTTTCAAACCATGTTAAGGAAAGTGAAACAGAAGGTTCTGAGCAAATGCCTTGTATATTGAGGGTAATTAGTACAATGTTTCTAAGATTAAAATCAATTTTATGCAAAGTGAAGCATCAGTCTCAAGGCTGTCATTAACTTGATTTTTCCATCCTCCATGTAACACATGTATGCAGTTTCTTACGATTTTTTTCTCTACGTTTGAATAAAATGCTACATATCATGACTTTAAGTTTGAAATTTTCTTTCATTAGTTTTTTTTGTTGTTGTTGTTGTTGTTTTTTAACATGTTCATGTCATGACAAGTCAGTCTACCTAAAAAGCTCAACTGGAATCATTTAAAATAAACTAGGATTTGCTCCTAGGAGCACCCAATAGGAGAAATATGAAAAAGGACTTTTGGGACCACAGAGTTACTTACTGGTTGATGTTGGCTATTGTATCCATCCAGTTGCGAATGCGCACCTTGTTCCGAACATTGGGAGGATTACTGAACTCGTGGATAATGCAAATATGATAGGGGTAGGGGCCACTAAACAGCTTCTGCTCCAAAGTTAGTGTATCTACCTGTGGAAGACATCAGAAGAAGGCCTTTGGACTAACACTAAGTCTGAGACATCTGAAGACTTTGAAAAGCTCCCCTTTGGAAATGCCTGGCTGACTTGGAAATCAAATAATAGCTCTGTCCCAGAGCACAGCTTGCCATGTTTGGATTAAGGCTTAGCAAATTCTCTGCACAGCAGACTCAGCAATTTCTCTCTCTCTGCTCTGTCAGTATCGGTTAAGTCAGAGAGAGCTGATTCAGCTACCTGATCTCCATCACCTGAGGAGGTTCTTAAGAGGTTTCACTGCAGGCTGCATTACAGAACTGAGAGTGTACAGAACTGTCCTATGCAGAACAATCGCTAAGTTTTAGGGGCAACATGTTTCTTTCCTCCTTGTAGACTCTGTGCTAACTCCGTTCCCATGGATGCCCTTCCCCACCTCCAGCTTTGCAGTGTCATCCTGCTTTCAGAGAGTCATGAGTTCAACTCCTTCACAAAAACTCCCTTAATGAAGGAAAAGTGTCTAGTTTTAAGCATGCAGCCAGTTTTGACTTTTAATACACATAAGAATTTGATGGACTAAAAAACAATAAAACAAAACAAACAAACAAACAAAAAAAAATTGATGGACTGACTTTGGAGGCCTCAATGTCAGAGTCCAGAAGTTAATATTTCCTTCTGGCAAGAAGCATCATCCTACACATGCACTTAACTTTCAATAACAATTATAGATATCATACTACTATTGCTTGAGGCACAGCAGCAACTTCCTAGTCTATCATATATACTAGTTAAAACAACACAAGATTGTAAGTATAATATGATTCTAATTATACATGTAAGGATTAAGAGACAGAGGTGAAAGAACTTGCTCTAAAGAATCTGAGCCAGGAAGTTTGTGACTTCAGTGCATGCTGTTAGTCAACAGGCAACTTCTAGCCTGCCACAGGAGTATATTTGGCTGCTAAGAATCCATAAAGAGCTAAGAGCATTAACAAACATTAACAAGCAATATCGGCTTGGTTATAAACAACCCCACAGATTTTTAAAGGATCATTATTGAGGGTTGGACAAAATGAATTAAGTAAACAAATAGTACAATGTGTATTTTATAATAAAAAAGCAGAGCTCGTTACCTGCTGCATTGGGCGCAGGTAGATGATACGGTTCCTCTCTGGCGGCATCTTCAGTATTTGGTCTAGTACCTGATCCATATTTAGTTTCTTGCACTGTGCATAGTCAAATCGGTTTACAATTGGTGCATTTTCTACCTTTAAATGTTTCAGTACCCTGCACCTGGTAGCTATAAAATAAAACAATATGCTCCATAAATATACAAGACTACAAAGTATGAAGTCCTGGAAGCTTCTCTGGAAAACCCTGGCACAGGCACTTGCTAGTGAACACAGGTACTACGATGGTCAATTACAAGTAACAGTAAGATTTGACATATGACTCAGTTCAGAAGCTGGCTGACCTCATGCTAGTGAGACATCAAGGCCCCTCTTCCTTCTAATGCTACCTGTTGAAGACATTAAGTCCTAGAAGTTGACCCGCCCAGGAAACATTTCTTTAATACTGAAAAATTACTGAATGACATAACTATATAGTTAAAAGAATTCACCAATATTACCTTGTATTTAATGAATGATAGAAATTGATGAGAGTTAACTTTAATTCCTGTCACAAATACAGAAACAGGTCTTGAGAAAAGGCACAGTAATGTGTGGATTCTCAAGTCTTTGGCTAGGTATTTCAGTACTGTGGAAAGATCTATTGAATACATTACCCTAAAACACGATTTTTCTTGTTCAACACAGCAAACATGAAGCTAGAGAGAGAAGTATCTGCTAACCACCACACAAACTTCACTATACTGCTATACCAACTACAACCCCAGCCTCCTCCCTTGTTTTAATCACCTAGTTCAACTGCAGAGGATTAAATGGATGCAACTATAAAACCACAAAGCTGGTTTGCCTGACTTTTAAAAACTTTTCATAAAGGCATCTTCTATTATAAGGTCTCTGATATAAGCACCATCACCTTCCAGAACACTCTACCCTATAAACTTTTCATATAGGCATCTTCTATTGTAAGGTCTCTGATACAAACACCATCACCTTCCAGAACATTACCCTGTAACTAACTTCCATGCTTAAACAGTGCCAGCATCCTGCCTTCAGGCTCAGTCTCCTCTGTCACATAGGAAAAGGAGGAATCAGAAACAAAGAAAAGAGAGAAAACCAGATGGTGCCATAGACCTGATGCCTCTCTGCTGTAAAACCAGACATAGTTAAGGCTAGATCTAATCTCATTTAGGCATTCCATCTGCCATTAACTTAGATATTGTGTAGAGGTTGAACTACTTAATCTAAGATTCTGTGTCTCGGGACACGCTGAACTGAACACCTTGGTTTAAAAGGCAGAAGGTGGACCCAGGGCTGTATACTCTATCAGTATAGCAGGCTGAGGACCATACAGAAGAACAATCAGGGTAAAGCACAGCAGTAAAGCCAGTGGCACTCTCTAAGATGCGCTCACTGCTTTGAGAGGACCGAGATAGCAAAGAGGACCATCTGGAGGTTGTTTTAGATGCCCAGAGGCAGAGGGTGGACTCCTGAGCAACAGTTAGGAAGGCCAACCCTGCTGTGCCTTCCAAACTTTCTGTTTCAAGAAAAACTCCAAAAGGAGGTAGTAACTTGATTAGATAGTCTATAGCAAAAACCTAGTTGGTTAAATAGGAATATTTTCAATTTTTTGCAGCATGAACAGAGTCTGACATCTTACAGAAATCTGGGGAGAGGGTCCTCTCTGTCCTTTTACTATTCTACTAGTTTGATGACATGTTTGGAATTAATGGGATTTCTTTGCCTATTATCAGTACCACAGGAAAGAGAAAAAGTACTTGAACTGCTTTAACATTTTTTCTGCAACACTAATATAACAGAAAGTCATATCTGCTGCTAGATGTTTCCTTTAAGACAGATCCTTGCTCTGTGGCTCAGGCTGGTACTGGGTTCACAGTAATCCTCTTGCTTCAGAGCCACTTAAGTACTAAGATTCCAGATGTGAGTCATCTTCAGCAGTCATACCCTGTACTCTGTACCTACATGTATATATGAATGTACACACACACACCCCCACTGCATTTAACTACAACAAAGGCCAAATGTGTTATCACTTAACCAAAATTCATACACATTACACACTGAAGAAAATGAACACATAACATGTAAGTCGCTCAAGGCAGGAACAAGGCAGATCTTGATCCTGACTATTTTTTCCCCCATACAGGGTTTCACTATGCTGTCTTGGCTGGCCTGGAACTTGCTATGTAGACCAGGCTGGCTTCAAGTCTTTGCCTCCTGAGTGTTTTGGATAAAAGGTGTATGCCACCACACCCAGCCTACATTTTTCTTTTTAAAAAGGATTATAAAAACTCGTAATTTTAAGTGGAAAAAGGAAACAAAACCCATTGGAAGCGGATATAATATACACTTAACCCTTGAAAGCCTTTCAGAGACAGTCATATAAAACACAAATGGATGCAGGAGGATATGAGATAAATGAGTGGAGATGATAGAAAGAAGAGAAAGGGTGTGCAGTGGGACTGGAGAATGGGCTTGGACTAGTGACACTGTGCTAGGAACTAAGGATAAGTTCAGCATCTAACCAAAACCAGAGCACCAAAGCATTGAAGGCCCGGTTATTTTTTTCCCCACACCTTTATGCAGCACTCATGCCCAAAGTTAAGCTGAGGTATTAACTGATTACAGACTGACCACGCCATGAAGCCACTCAAATCAGTGAGCAGTTGACCTTCAAGGAGAGGCCACTTACAAAAGGAACCAAGATTCAGCAGGTAGACCCTCTCTATGGAGTAATTAATTATATAAGAACTATACAACGAAGACAAAATTAGAGACAGCCCTAAATTATGTAAGAACCATACAACAGAGAGTCAGCCCAAAACATTCCTGTGAAAAATAATAATCATATGGGAATTAATTTTGGCTTTACTGAGGTTTGAATCTAGGCTATAATACATACTAAGCAGCAAGCATTCTACACTGAGCTATATTCCTCAGTTGCTACACTCTCTATCTCTGATGTTTTAATTCTTCTTAAACTATCAAATTTTTTATTCTGTGATTAGGTCTCACTGTGTAGTACAAGTTGACCTTAAATTTATAATCCAGGTCAGTCTCCCGAGTAGCTGGGGTTGCAGCCTGCACTGGTCTGGCTTTAATTGTATAAAGGATGTATGATGCTCATATATGATGCAACCCCAAATACATACCATGGATAAACATCATCTTGGGGCAGTCTTTCAGCACTAGATCTGTGATCCCACAGTTGGTCATGGTGACTCCAACAAGATTTTTGGATTTTAATACAAGAACCTACAATGATAAAAGTTTAAAAGTTACAAGTGAGTGTATCTTCCCCAGTGCCTTGTTTCTTTTAAGGGCAAATTCTTCATTGTTACAACCTAGAAGCTGTTAACCAAATTTTCTCTTTAGAATATAGAAAGTACATAGATAGAAACTTCAGTTTCTTTGCATATACTGGGCTAGGCAGTAAAGAGAGCTTTCTTCTTTACCTGTACATGGTCATCCTCAATCACAGGATCACTGGTACTGGTAGACTTATCTGCAGTTCGCTTTCGCTTAATTGCATGACATGGCTTTGTTTTGGCAACTTCTATGAAAGGAAAAATAAAATCTCAAATTTTATCCTTGTTTCCTCCCAGAGAATATTTGGTCACATATGAAAACACCATCATAACTCCAAAATCTAAACTCAGTTGTTGAAATAGGTAGGTGGTGTTTCTAAAAGACTGCTCCAAGTCACAATCATGCCTCCTACCTGAAGCAGCCCATCCTGCAAGCAACTCCAAAATCTCATCCATGTACTACCTGGCTTTAACTTCCCTACTAAAAAATCTTTCAATGACTGCTGCTTAGTGTGTATGTTTCAATTCCTGACACTGGGGTAAATGCCTTAACTGTCTCTGTTCTCAATATTCTACCAATCTGTAGACATCAACTATAACCCATTACCTATGTCTAAAGCCATTAATCACTCTAGCTCTTTCTGCTCAGACCATTTGTGTCTTCAGGGTTTGAAAGACAAGCCATCTTGGTCTTACTCAATTATCATTTGGTTCTAACAAATTTATTTGGACCTCCAACATTTATTGTTCTGCAATTCGCCATATACCTGTCTCCATATTTAAACTAAACGTTCCTTAAAGGCAACAACTTTTCTCCCAGAGTCAGTCAGTATGAATTAAAATGAAAACTGACAGAAACACCTGGCAGTTAATACTGCAGGTCCATTACAAAACAAGCATTTACTGGGTGCTCACTGGGTGTCACTCACTGCTCTAAGGGTTTCATTAGTCTGAACTCATTTAATCCTTCCAATATACTCTAATACAGGTTACTGTTAAAATTCTCCTCACTAAATATACTAGGAAACTGAGTCATAGGAAGCAAAATAGTTAGCCAAGATGTTAAGAGTCAAACACACTCGATCTGGCTCAAGTCACTAGATTACCAGACCTATAATATGTTTCAGTAAGTTTTTAACTGAATTTACTAATATTTTACCAAAATGTTACAATTTAATTGTAAGAACAAGTATGATTTTATTAAAAAAAAAAACAAGTTCTAAATCTGTATCTAAACTTAAATGCACACAATCTATTAATATATTGAAAGTCTTGCCCTCATTTCTGACATATAATAGTATGACCGCAGCACACCAGTGACTATAACCCAGGTGTTAACTAGCACCCCCAACACTACTGCAGGATTTTGTAACCTCCAACAAGATTACAAAAGGAAAGGAGGTACAGATCCTGCCAATACCAAAAGGCTCAGGATTTAGCATCTTAGAACTAGTCAACATGTTGTTTTTAACCACCAGAATGTTTTCCTCCATTGGAACCCGTGAAATTCTACTATGCCAAATAACTGAAAGTAGCTGCTTTGGTTGAAGGCAAAATGAGAAGAAATTCTAGTCAAACCAGAATCTTGAAGGAACATCCTGCAAAATCTGTCTCCGTGACCAAAAGCCAGCTAAAGGTAGCACATTTTACTCAACTACCAAGATTCACACAGCTCTTAGAATTTCCTTCCTCACCACACCTTCAACATGAACACAACAAATAGGCCTGTTTCACTCCTCCAGCAGTGATGTGCAGGGTCTTCAGCATCCTTCTTTTACAGTCTGATTTCAGACTTCTTTCTTTAAGCTGCTCTTTCCCTCCCTTTTACTGCATATAACATGGGTTACCTGCTCTCCATGGGGTCTAAATTGGTTTGTGTTTTCTTTAAAAACTATAAAATGAGGCAATAATTTATTTGTAGATGATTTCAAACAGATGTTTCTAAATGTACAAGGAAAAGGGAATTATTCTTTCACATCTTCCTCCCTGTCCAGGGACAACTGCTAGTGACTTTGTATACTACATTGTTGCTACACTTACTAAGTTTACATCATCCATTCAGTCTCAGACT